GCTCCGCAGTGTAGATGTAGCCTAACAGTCCAGCAGTGCAGTGGGGCTAAGGCAGACACCCCCCTTTCCTGGCCCTGTTGCACATCTGTATATGCCTTGGTGCACATAACAAGGCATATGTATTCCACACGTAGAAGGAAAAAATTAAGAGGTACTGTTGCCTGCGGCCCCTAGGGGAGGTAGGGATGGGGTGTCCACAAGTTGCCCTTGCCTACAGGCACCACCCCCATGACTCCTGTTAGCTGAGAATGGGAAACCTTAGCCAATAGGAGGTGTAAGGGTAATGCCTGTGGATGAGGAGTGGTGCACTGAGCCATCTGCTCCTCCCTACAGAAGCCGCTGCAGGATATGCTGGCTGTTTTCAGGAGTGGTGCAGAGCCACGGTGGGGATGAGCCCGTCTTAGCTCCACTGAACAACTAGTGGGGAAATGCCTGAGGTAAATGGTACCTAGCTGGATCCTGAACCCCTGTTCCAGTCCTTAACCCCTTCCTGCACCCAACCCCTTCCCCAGGCTCAGCCTGGAGCCCCTCCCCTACTCCAAACCCCTTGGCTCAAAACCAGAGCCTGCATCCCCCTGAACTCCGAGCCCCTGCCCAGCTTGGTGAAAGTGAGTGAGGGTGGGGGTGGGAAAGGACTGGGAGTGAGCAGGGTGGGGCCTTGGAATAGGGCTAGAGCAATTGTGGGGCCTCAGAGAATGGGTGGGGTAGGAGGTGGGGCAAGTGTATTGGAGTTTGAGGTAGATTTCAGATTGCACTTTTATTGAAAAAGTAATCTTTTGATTAAAAGGATTGGAGACCACCAATCTAACTCAGCCCTTTCCTGTGAAAAGTTTCTGTTTCGATAAATTATCAATGTCTGAAACAAAAACCTTTGGTCAAAAAATGCCCAACCAACTCTAATATTTAGAAACCTCTACAACTAGTTTCCCTATATACAAAATAAAGTCAGGGTTTCAAAGCCTGACTTGGGATATTTCCTGGCTTGAATCCAATCTGGTGAAAGTGGTGAATCTCACTTCTTTGGAAGTAAAAAACAATGAGACAAACAAAAAAACGTTTCCTCTTTTTGCCATGCAATCATGAGATGTTAGATCAATTAGTGGTGCAGGGTTTTCAGGAGTGAATATTGCTACACTGGGCCTCAGGCCAGGTCTACACTTATCCGGAGATTGACAATCCAGAGATCGATCTTCCAGAGTTCGATTAAGTGGGTCTAGTAAGGACCCGCTAAATCGACTGCTGATGGTGCTTCTGTCAACCCCGTTACTCCACAGGGTCACAAGGAGTAAAGGAAGTCGACGGGAGAGTTTCTCCCATCAACTTCCCGTAATGAGGACACTGCAGAAATTTGATTTAAGGTACATTGACTACACCTATGCTATTCTTGTAGCTGGAGTTGCGTATCTTAAGTTGACTTTCTCACGTATGTAGACCTGACCTCAGATGAGTAGAAAAAAGATTAGTCCACTTACTACGGGAAATGACCTAGAAGTTGGGAGAACAGATTTCAGTTACCTACTCAACAACAGGACTTTTATTGGAAAGATTACTGTTCCTCAGCTCTCCATCTATAAAATCATGCTCCCTAGAAACACCTTTCAGGCTGTGTGGTGCTCAGCTGCTATGGTGATAACTATCACATTGATGGCCTGTTGGCAGGGTGGAGCTAAGTGAGGAAAATTCCATTGCAAGAGAAAAAGTAGTAAATGGTTTATTTGGCAGTTATTTAGTTTAAAATGTAGCAGCTGTTTGAAACTATTCACGAGTTTGGAAAGTCTGAAGCCAACCCTGACAGGGTGCAGTTTATATGATCAATAGTGTGTGATAAATATAGTGTATCACATAGACACTATCCCCACTTATAATATCTATAGATAAAAAATACAAAAAAAATGGGCGATTCCCCCAACTGTATGCAGTACATATGGTAAAGAATGAGAGATGGGCTATCTGACTTGCGCTTGTGCAAATATCTACAAACTTGTCATTTATTCTGGACCACATTCAGTTCTACTACAGAAAAGATGTAAGCATAAATTATGAGTGAGACTAGCCCAAATAAGAGCATTGGTCAGACCTCTAAAAATACTCTCATCTATGCTAATGTCCTCATTTTCCTGGTATATTAAGAGATCCTTTTAAGACCAGCCAGACCACTCTATAATAACAGATTGCTATGTGCAGCTGAGTTGTGGATTTCCCAGAGACATAGTTGTTACAGGATTTTGCAGTGAAAAAGGCAAAATTAACAGCTGGAGTAAATTGCAGGACTTATTTGAATTCTACAATCTGCAGTACAGATCTCCAGTTCTTTATTAGTGGGGACACATGATATCATTTTAACTCATTCTAACTGTTGTCAGTAATCTTAATGTCAGTTTGTGGCTAATTGATGCCATGTAACTATAATATGTATACTAGATCACTTGCAGGTGCAGACAATCTACCAGTATAACCACTGCTTTAAATCTTGGCCTGTGGGAACCATCCCAAATGCAACCGTATCAGACAAGTGCTATTAGTCTAATTTCATGTACATATGTCAAAGAGAAATGCCAGGAATTGTAAAATGCTATTTATATCTACTAATTACTTTTAAAAAACCCCACACACATCTGTACGAATTAAAGAATCACACTAACCAACTGTGAGTGAGATCCTGTCTCATGGGGATGAGGAGGGATAGCAGAAGAGAAAAATCTTAGTTTGTTTAGAATTGTCCTTCAGCTCAAAGAAGTGTCAGTATTGTATTAGCGCCAGAACTCCAAAAGGCACCAGTGAATGCTTTTCTCATGAGGGAGTGAGATTATGGATGTATCCATATATTCAATAGTGCCATGCACCTCAAATACAAATATACCAAAATCTTGATGTTTCTTTCGGACTTGATAGCATAAAAAGTGCCCCAAGATGACTGCTCCGTCCTTCTTCCTGTCCACCTCAAACAAAAAAGTTGGAATCTCCAGCCATCTCCTCTGGATCAAACCCTAGTCTCCACCTACTCTTTTGGCAGCTCTTCTCTTACATTTCCAGCCAGTCATACATGCTGCTCTTTCATAAGTCTGACTAGGTCAGTTCTCACAGATTTTTGGGGTGGATTAAAAGTAGCATTAGGAAATAACCTAAGAGCCCTGATGCAGCCTGTGTCCCCAATGTTAGCATGGTAGCCAGAAAGCAGATTGCTTGACTTTTAATCATCCTGTTCACTTTTTCGAGACCCTTTCCGAAAAGTTTAGAAGAATGGAAACAGCAGCCAGATACAAAGCTCCTAGTTCTGACCTTTGAAGACCACTCCTCCAAATAAACTGGATCAATTTAAAACTATAAGAACCAGTCTTTGTTTTGAAACATTGTTTGTCTTCAGCCCGATGCTCCGAACAAACCCAAAATAACACAAGTCATTAATGTGCAGGGGAAAGCACTTTGCCAGCAGAACTGTTAAAAATAGAAACGGGAATAAAATTCATACCTTGAACTAATCATTCTGCTTTATTATCTTTTCTGGTCTGTGACTCTTCAAATACAATAGACTAGACCGGGAGATATATGACAGTACCTCTCTGACCAATTACAGGCAGTCCCCGAGTTACGCGGATCCGACTTACGTCGGATCCGCAGTTACGAACGGGGCCCTCTCCCTGTTCTCCAGCAGACCAGGGAGAGGAAGCAAAGCGGCGGAGCACGCAGGCAGTGGACAGCCCAGACGCGCATCTGGGCTGTCCGCTGCCCGCGTGTTCAGCCGCTTTGCTCTGCTTTGCTCCCCGTCCCCCTGGTCTGCAGACCAGAAGGACGGGGAGCAAAGCGGCTCTACACACGGGCAGCGGACAGCCCAGACGTGTCCTCCCGCGTGCTCCGCCACTTTGCTTCCTCTCCCCGGTC